AGGAATGCATCCTCTTTTGCATGTCCTGTGATGTTAAATCGAGGTTTGAATTTATCCTCTTGAGAAGCTGTGCCGTAATTGAGCATTCCAATAAGCTCTAAAGAACCGCCATTGCTTTTCTGTTGATACCAGTACATGTATGGATAGTCATTGTCACCGTGACGACAAAAAAGCTTTGCCTCTTTCTCCTCCACTGTCTGTAGAAGATGTTTGGGAGACTGCTGAATGACAGGAGAACAAACCACACAAACTACAAGAGGGTGAGGAGAGCACAGCAATGAATATATATTAAGGCTGCATTGCACTAGAAACACTTACCTGGTAACCAGTAAATAGTGATTATAGTGATATACTGGATATCAGCAGGAATGCATCTTTTGTTGCATGTCCTGAGAGGACAAATCGAGGTTTGAATGTATCCTCTGGAGAAGGTTCGCCATATCTGAGCATTCCAATAAGCTCCAAAGAACCACGGTCATTTTTTTGTTGATACCAGTAGAGGTATGTGTAGCTGCTGTCACCATGATGGCAAGAAATATTTGCCTCTTTTTCCTCCTCTGTCTGTAGAAGATGTTTGGGAGACTGCTGAATGACAGGAGAACAAACCACACAAACTACAGGAGGGTGAGGAGAACATAGCAATGCATGTACATTAAATAACTTCTGATAGTTGTTGTCACCGTGACGACAAAAAAGCTTTGCCTCTTTCTTCTCCACTGTCTGTAGAAGATGTTTGGGAGACTGCTGAATGACAGGAGAACAAACCACACAAACTACAGGAGGGTGAGGAGTGCATTACAATACATATGCATCAAATAACATAGACTGCAATGCACTGGAAATGCTTACCTATTAAAATGAAAGCAGTAATTATTGTTAAAAGGATTGCTCTGATCATGATTATAACATTCAACGAAGCAACAGAAGAAATAACATTAAATTCACAGTGCAATGGTTGCCTCTCTAAATTGCTTCTTCTGCAGTCAAAAGAGCTTCTCACATATCTTGAGGCTGAGACTGTTGTTCACCTCAGAAAGGAACCACCTAGATGTTAGGTGATAGGTGCTTATTGGTCCAAATGAAAAAAGCCCACCCCCAAGTGTCTGTGATAGTCTAGTCACATACAGCTCTGGATCCTCCTTTGTTGCAAATCGTTTTCATTTTCTGTATGTGAAAATTATTTTGCATTAAGTTCAGTTCACCCTTTTCCAAGCTGATTAGCTGGTTCAGTTGTGTTTGTTCAAGGTTGGAGCTGAAGGTAGATCTCCAAGAACAGGATCAGGTACCCGTGGTTTATTGGCTCCTTGCTTTTAGCCCTATTCTGATGGGACTAGATTACCTGGAGAAATTTGTGCATCACTGATGTATTTTGTAATTTCCAGGAAACTGGAAGTAAAACATGTTCCATGTTAGCTTTGAACATGGGTCCCCATGAGCAAAAACACTCATCATGTGTTGAGAGTAATACACACATCTATGATGAAGGCCATTTTGCTGTTGTTCTCTATTAAAGCCCACATTTAACAAACAATACATACTGAAACGTCACATTTTCATTGGTGCCCCCTATTTGTAAATGTTCTTATTACCAATTTTGGCATGAAGATGCAAGACATCTTGTGGCTTTTTATTAATCAAACAGGTGCAAAGTGAACAGTTTTTGTCAGCGATTAAAAGGAATTGTATGGCTGTGCAAACTAGCTGCACATAAATAAACTGCGCTGATCCCAGCATTTATCCTGGTTATGAGCAGGAATGCATCTTTTGTAGCATGTCCTATTATGTTAAATCGAGGTTTCAATTTTTCCTCTTGAGAAACTGTGCCATAATTGAGCATTCCAATAAGTTCTAAAGAATTGCTATTGCTTTTCTGTTCATACCAGTACGGGAATGTGTAGCTGCTGTCACCCTGATGACAAGAAAGCTTTGCCTCTTTCTCCTCCACTGTTTGTAGAAGATGTTTGGGAGACTGCTGAATGACAGGAGAACAAACCACACAAACTACAAGTGGGCGAGGAGAACATAACAATGAATATAAAATAAAGAACTTAGACTGCATTGCACTGTAAACACTTACCTGGTAGCCAGTAAGTAGTGATTATAGTTAAAATGATTGCTCTGATCATGCTGATAACATTCAACAAAGGAAACAGAAGAAATAACATTAAATGCAGTGCAATGGCTGCCTCTTTAAATTGTTTCTTCTGCAGTCATGAGAGGTCACAGCTTGACACTAAAACTGTTGTTCACCTCAGGAAGAAATCACCTTGATGTTAGGTGATTGCTTATTGGTCCAAATCAAAAAAGCCCACCCCCAAGTGTCTGTAATATTCTGGTCACAATACAGCTCTGTATTGTCATTCAGTTCACATAAATGGGATTATTTTCATATTCTGTATACAACAATTATGTTTGATATTTTAGGAAAAGAAATACCTAACCTAGAGTTTTGTCTGTAACATAAACAGCGCAGGATAAGTTAAGAAATGAATTTTAATACATAGAATTAGGAGCTTGTGCAAATTCAAGTGCATTAGTCCTTGGTGCAGTTTTAAGATAAATCTAAAATACATTTCAACTCACAAAAAAAGGTAAATCCAGTTCTGTCTCTATATATTAAAGTATTATAGAAATGTGAACTATGTGCAATGTTTATAAATTATGCAAGCAAGACTTTTACCTGCTAACATGGCGGATCTTCAAGCAGGAATTAAATAGGATTCAAAAATGACCAGTATTATTTTGTTCTTTTCTTCTTGCCTTTATTTGAGAGGACAGTGAAAACGTTTCAGGAAAGAACAAGGAGAAAGAGATGGAACTGGACTAGAACATCCTCTTGAACCTGGAACCATTATGCTGCTTTTCTCCATTAAGCCCCATACATACTGAAACCTCACATTTTCATTAGTGCCCTCTATTTGTAAAAACAGTTATTACCAGTTTTGGCATAAATATTCAAGTAACCTTGTGGATTTTTTTCTTTTTTGTTTTTCTTTTTTTTAATCAAACAGGTGCAAAGTGAACAGTTTTTTGTCAGCGGTTATAAGGAATTATATGGCTGTGCTTACTTGTTGCACAGAAATACACTGCGCTGTCCTCAGCAGATATGCTGGATATCAGCAGGAATGCATCTTTTGTAGCATGTCCTGATAGGGCAAATCGAGGTTTGAAGTTTTCCTCTGGAGTACCTGAATCACCTGTCTGCATTCCAATAAGCTCCAAAGAACCGCCTTCATTTTTTTGTTGATACCAGAATAGGTATAGATAGCTGCTGTCACCATGATGGCAAGAAATATTTGCCTCTTTCTCCTCCACTGTCTGTAGAAGATGTTTGGGAGACTGCTGAATGACAGGAGAACAAACCACACAACCTACAAGAGGGTGAGGAGCACACAACGGTATATGTATATTAAATAACCTAGACTGCATTGCACTAGAAATACTTACCTGGTAACCAGTAAATAGTGATTATAGTTAAAATGCTTGCTCTGATCATGATTATAACATTCAATAGAATAAATAAGATTACAATGCAGCAGTTGCTTCTCTAAATATTTGTTTCTTCTGCAGTCATAAGAGTACAGCTGTCATATATCAAGGCCAAGACTGTTGTTCACCTCATTTGACTGGGTTGTCAACCCAGGTGCAGATGTGTCATGTGACGGGGGAGGGGTTTTTAGCACAGGCTCCTATAAGCCTGTAGCACTGTGCTGCACTCACTGCACAGAAATACACAGCACTGTGCTCAGCTTTCACAGACGACACCAGCAGGTACGCCTCTTTCTCTGCATCTCCTGTTATTGTGAAACCCTTTTTGTCAACCAAGTCCTGCTTGAATGAAAGAAAGCCAAGGTGCTCGAGATTTTGCCCATTAGACTGCTGGTACCAGAAGATTTTGTCATAGGTTTTGTCATGGTGACTGCATGTGATGTTCATGGTCGCTCCAGTGACTAAAAAAAGGTTTCTAGGAGTTTGTGTAACATTCAACATCAAACACAGTCCTGTAAGGCCATTAAAGAAACAGATTAAACTACCGTGATTCCATAGATATGCAAGTATATATCTGCAAGTAATGTCTCACCAATGCAACACTGAAGCAGGAAACATCTGACTGGAAATTCACTCATGTTGAATTTTGGTTTGAATGAAAACTCACGGGTGAGCTAGTCAAGTTTGTTGGATAAATGGGTGGAGCCTGATTTATTCTGTTCACATCTATGTTTTTACATCTACTGCCCCCTGCTGGGTTGGATATTGACTTGTAAAGTACAGTAGAATTCACTTTCCAAACAGCTCTTTCATTCTACATCTGCCATGTTATCAATAAATGATGTGCTGTACATGGAATTTGTAAAATGTAAAAAGTTGTAATTGTTATCTGAGGGGCCAGGGCTATTTGTCGCACAAGACAATAAAAGGTTTTGAGTCAAAAATCCCAGTTATCCAAATGTGTTTTTTCTCAGGCAGTGGATATGTATGCTGATTTCAAAGAACTAGTTAAAACTTGTCTTTAATTAATCCTGTTAAACATTAAAAACTCAAATGTCATCATATTTTTTTAATTGAATTACATAAACAAGTGAACAAAACAACATTTCCATACAATAATACAAGGGTCAACTATAATGAAGGTAGATTTTAGCCTGAACTGTTTTCTAACAACAAAGCTTTAACATATGTTACATTTCTGTTGTAAATGTTTGATAGTTTAAAATACATTGAGCCTGTAACCCATTGAGAAATATTCACTGGAGTAAAAAAACGTGTGACAACTATGGTTGCCCATAACTATTTACATTTGACATGCTACAAACATAATTACGTTCTTAACATAAAGAAAGAATGACACTGTGATGTAATGTATAGGGGTTTGTGATAAAGTTTTTGTGCAGAAGTGCAGGAAACCCACAGCACCGTGTTCTCTTGCAGCACAGTAATAGATTGCACTGTCATCTGAGGAAAGTTTTTTCAGTGTCAAAGTGCTGTTGCTTGCTCCATTCCCCAATAGCTCAATTTTCTCCTTAAAATCTGGCTCTGAGATATTATTTGTCCTGTATAGATGCCCCATGAGCTGCATTTCTCCACTAAGAGCCTGCTTGTACCAGAGGATGACATTTAAGGTTGGATTTTTGTGAGAACAGTGAAGACTCACTGATTCTGCATTGTTTTTGGACAGCAGGTGAGTAGGGGTCTGTATGATAGTAGAGTTCACTGAGAAGTCTGTTAAGAGAGGGAAACATTTAGAGTGACGATACTGTTATAAAACACTACACTGAAATAAAAAATAATATAGAATTTACTTTGAAACAAATTTCACTTATAATGGTATTTTATTGAAAAATCATTTTTATAGTGTGTACTACTCTTGTTCCAGACTGTTTCAATGCATTTTCTTACCTGTTAAAAAGAGCACCAAGATAGCAGTGTTGATCAGATGTCTAATCATGTTGTACCTAAAGACAAATGACTGGATGGGAGTAATGAACCCATTTTTAAACTTTTTTTTTCTTCATTTGAGAAAGGAAACTACATCCGCTATATCAATTACTGTATAAGTGAGCAAACAGATTCTGCCCTCTGGTGTGTAAATGATGCTATCCATTGTTTTGTTTTTTGACTGGTTGCTAGGCTATTGCTTATTGTGGTTGCTAATGTGTTTGCTCAGTCATTAAATAATAAAATAATATATTATAATACTATTAACTGCCACACAATAGGTAAACATCTGTGCACCAAGCAAAGAGAATATGTTGATTTTCAAAGACCTTGTTTTGTTGATTCTGTGGGGGAACATTGTTATCAAAAAGGAAGAAAAAAAATATCGTGTACCAAATAATGTGACAGCTGTGCAAAGCTTCTCTCTGTTATGCTATTATTAAAGGTGGGTTTTTGTTTAATGGAAAGGGAGGAAACAGGACTGTGGTAATAAGCAGCATAGTAGTACACAGCGCTGTCTTCAGATTTTCTCAGCTGGATAAGATGAAGTGTAGAGTGTGTTTTACCGTGACCGCTCACATTAAAATGCTTCTCAAATGGTTTCTCAATAGTTCTTTGTTCATAATACACATAACCAATGAGTTTCAGCTCAGTGTCTGTCTGTGAGCGCTGGTACCACAGTAAAGTGTCATAGTTGGTTATTTGATGGCGACAGGTGATTTCAGACGGACTTTCAGGACTCCAAAAAATTGCAGAAGGATTTTGATCAACCTTACTAGAAAACACAACACCTGTGAAGACATGAAGGCAAATGCTACACTTTTATTATGTAACTAATTGTGTAAAATGATTAATTATAATTAAAGGTGGCAAAGTACATGTAAAGAAACATCTTATAGTATTACCTATGAAACAAATCACGGTGGTTGAAGAAACAAGAGATCCTCTCATGTTGATGTTGTGTGAGGGTGTATGTCAAAGACCAGATATGGAGGGGAATAAGTGGATTGTTTCATACTGCACTACGAGATGCAAATGGATTATGGGTAATGATGCACCTCCTACAAATAAAGTCTATTGAAGGGTGGTGTCTATAAAGAGTAGTGAGCAAAAAGTAGCGTAGTGTGCACCAGGAATAAACACAATCATATGCTGTCAGTGATCAGCAAATGAATGTGAGCCAGTGCTGGTCTGTGCAGGTGTTTATGGGGTTTCTAATAAGAGGAAGGTAATTGTAAAGAGGGCTGAACTCTCGCAGCACTGTGTGATACTGGCAGTGCAGTAATACATAGCCGTGACTTTGGCCTCTCTGTTACATGGTATATGAAGTGAAGCAGCTTTTTCACCATCACCTGATACATTAAAGACATTTACATATGGATCCTCTGTCTTTGGTGTTTTATAGTACATATAAGCTAAAAGTTTCAGTTCCGTGTCCCCAGGAGAGCGCTGATACCATAGTATTGTGTCATAGTTATTGATGGTATGGCTGCATGTCAACTCAACAATACTGTCAGGATGACACAAGACTGCATCTGGAGACTGATGGACATCTTTACACACAGCGGGGACTGTACAAAGAGAAGAACACAGAGCAAACTTTACAACTTGATTGTTATAGAAACATGTAAAACCTGAAACTAAAAATTGAGATAAAAATAAGTATTGTACCTGCTAGAAAGAGCACTGTCACAAGTTGGATGGAGAGGCAAAACATCATGGCGAGTTCTCAACTGCACTGAGTTGAGTTGGGCTAATTTCTTCTAAACAGGAAATTACATCAAAAACCACCAGACTGCTGCCATGTTTTTTTTTTTTTTTGGTCACATTTTATATTATAGGTGTCTTAAAGACATTAAATGCTATATTGTGTTCTATTGTATTGCAAAACACTTTTTGCTGCTATTGAGGTCTTTTAAGGGTGGGTTATGGGGTCAACAGAGTAATTCTGAATGTACAGTAATTACAGAAATTAGTTACATGTGTAATTGCATACAGGTATTTTTAAATAAAAGTACCATGTAAAAACACGTATGTGCACAATAAAGTGCATTGTAACAGTTAAACAATAAGCACATTGTAGTAGTTTAAGACTCTTATACTGTATATAGTATATAGAATATATACAATATATAGTGGCGCCTTTTTTCCTCTGTGTTCCATATTAGCTTTTTCAATGATGTTTTCTAAAACTCATCAGTGTGGTTTCATGCAGGTGTACCATGATGCATTAAAGATTAGAGCAAGGTTTTTGTCATAGAAGGAGAACACTTGTGGCATTGTGCATAAGACGCTGCACAGAAATACTCTGCACTGTCCTGGTCTGGTCTTGCTTGGAGAATTTTTAAAGTAACCTCCTCTTCTCCATTTCCAGTTAAATTAAAATGATCCTTATATGATGGCTCAAATTCCTTTATGCTGCTATATCGTGCATAACCGATCAGTTTCAGGCTAGAATCTCCATGTGACCTCTGATACCACAATATTGTGTCATAGCTAGTAATTTTATGTCTGCATGTAAGACTGACAGACTCCTTGGGTTTGCACAGCACATCTGAAGGGGACTGATGCACCTTCTCACAAATCAGGTGACCTGAGAGTCCAAAGAAATACTGTTAGGTACAAATACTGATGCATTTCAATGTTCTTAGCCTTCATAAAATATACTTCCATGGCCCTGCAAATGTATTAGTTTAACTAAAATCATAATACCTGTAAAACAGCTCAGAAAGAAGATGACACTGAATCTAATCATGTTGTGTGATGCTCATATCAGAGGAACACTACTGAGGTTTTCAGTAAAGTAGTAGACCTAAACAGGAAGTGATGTCATGTTGAAATGGGCAGGATATCACTCTTTTTTTTTTTTAAACAGGGGAATTAATAAAAACAACCAGATCCGAGATGAATCAAATTTTAGATTTAAAAAATGTATATATAGATAGAGAGAGTGAATTTGAATGATCAACTCAACGATTTGAATTATTTCAATAATCAACTCGGAAATTAATTCACTGATTCTACAAATGAATGTATTGAATTTTATTGCAAAATATATACACAGAAATAGAAAGTAGAAATATATACACAGAAATTAAGTCAAGTTATGTACATATTTTTAGAGCACTTTATACAAAACAGATTGTTCCGACGCAGCTTTACAGTAATAAACAGGAAAATAAGAGTGTTAATGTTGCAAAAGTCATTCAATTTTAAACAAATTCAGCTCTACAGTAGATAATGGTTACATTATTCAGCTCGATTTAGTTCAGTGTTGATTAAATTCATTTCAATTACAGTGTCAATGTTGCATACTTCATCAATTATGAAACACATTTGATTCAGTTATAAAGAAGCTCTAGAAGACAATAGTTTCATCATCCAGTTCAGTTCAAGTTTTGTTTTCATCTGATATTTTCAGTGCAGTCAAATCAGTAATATTATGGAATATTAATTGTCTTTTAAATCCCAGCAGAGCAAGCCAAAGGCAACAATGGCAAGAAACAAAGCAAAGTAGTGGAGAAAAATCCTTGGTAGAAACCAAGCTTAGTCAGGGACTTTTATTTTAAGTAACCCCTCTGTTGCATTCCGTTGACCTATTTGCTAACTATATTTATCAATTTGAAAACAAAACTGAGTTGTCAGGTTCCTCTCGTGGAATCCAGCTCAACCCAAGAGCTTGAAAGTTAATGAAAGATGCACAAAAGATATGGGCTTTTTGTAGGGCTCATGGGGGGCCTACAGCACTGTGTGCACTGGCTGCACAGAAATACACTGCACTCTCCTTCAGGGTAAGCTCTGAGATTGTCAGGTTCACAGAACTCTTGGCATCTCCCACCAGATTATATTTTTTATCATCTTTCTCCACATTGTGGGCACCGTGAAAGGAATATCCAATAATGTGCATGCCTTGCCCATGCTCATTCTGGTAGTACCACAATATGGTGTTGTAGGTGGATATACTGTGAGAACAGGATAAAGTGAAGGTCTGTCCAGAACGCACGATGACTTCAGCAGGAGTTTGAACAACACTGCTGAACAAATGGCCTGTTAAATAGATGAAAATGAAACGGTAATTTCACAGCATTGTGCAGTGTCAAAAAGACTTCACCAGATAATGTAACAAGATTACACAGAAAGTTGTGTCCAAAAAAGAAAACACATTTAAATTCACTTACCAAAATGCCCGCAGAGCAAATAAAAGAGTAGAACTGGATTTCTCACCATTATGAAGTTTTAATGACACAGGGTTCTTAGAACAGTTAAAAAAATATATGTATTTATACAATATCAAAATAGCATATAGCTCTATTTGTTGCAAATTCATCTGAATTTCATCAACCCTTTCAGAGGTGAGGTCCCTCCTCCATCCTCTTGGGTGGATGTGTTGCAAAACAGCCCCACCTATTGAGACGAAAGCATAACATTGTGTTCATGAAGCTCCAGCTCTTGAATTTGTGTTCAGTGGTTTAATTTGTTTGCAGGTTATATACAAATTACATACATAGTTATGACACATTTTCGTATTTTTTATTAAATTGATTCCTCACTGTGAATCACTTGAGGTCAAAAACAAAGCTTACAGAAACTGAAGTTTATGCTATTTTTGTAAAACAAATTAAAAAAAAATTAAAAGGCAGACTGAAATTAATACCACAGGAGCAGGTGTGGATTAAGACATGCATCATCACAGCATTACAGAGACATTTTTGTAATGAAGAGCAGGGATCTAAAACACTGTGTAACATGCAGCACAAAAATACACTGCACTGTCGTTAGACAAGAGATCTTTAATGGTCAAATATCCATTGCTGTTTCCATTTCCATACATTTCTGTTTTGTTTGTGAAAGCTGCTTCTTCGTTCTTTGATGTTAAGTATGAATATCCCATTAATGTGTGATTGTTACTCTGACACTGTTAAAGTGCATGACTGCAGTATATGATGTATGACTTCATAGGGCCCCACAAAAACCAAACTGTGTTCTTGTCTTAACTCCTGGAATTTTGCCCTGAAGTTTTGATGCAATTTAATTAACAATTAATTCAAAACAATGCAATACAGACTGCAAGATTTTAACATGTTTTAAAAACTTTTAAAGGTCAACCAAACAAAGACAAACAGGACACTTTTATAACATCTAATCATTTGTTTAAATCACAGTTTCTATGAGTAGTAATGGTTGGATTAGATAAGTCATTGAATTTGTCTGTTATCAATATCTAACAGTATATACATGCATCACTGGAGAATACTTGCATTTTTTAACCTCTTTTTTTTCCCCCAAGTCAAGTCAATGTAATTTCCAGCACATCTCTGAATATGTACCTTTTTTTTCTTTATATCAAGAAACACATTTTATATAAAGACATACATTTTTTAAAATTCAGATAAAAATTAACAAGTCTTGTCGTTGAAACCTTATGATCCATGATAACCCAGCATGAGTCGTGATCTAATGATAATTCGTATGTATTTTACATATTTTGACATGACGTGACATGTGGCCAAGTATGGTGACCCATACTCGGAATTAGTGCTCTGCATTTATTCCATCCAAAGTGCGCACACACACAGCAGTGAACACACACACACCGTGAACACACACCCGGAGCAGTGGGCAGCCATTTTTGCTGCGGCACCCGGGGAGCAGTTGGGGGTTCGGTGCCTTGCTCAAGAGCACCTCAGTCATGGTATTGAAGGTGGGAGAGAGCGCTGTACATTCACTCCCCCCACCTACAATCCCTGCTGGTACGAGACTCGAACCCGCAACCTTTAGGTTACGAGTCCAACTCTCTAACCATTAGGCCACGACTTCCCCTTTTTACCATCTAAACAGCATTCAAAATCAGCATTTAAACGTGCAAAACTGACATATTGACGACAACTAAAAATGAATCCTTATGAATATTGAAATCGCGGCATTAATTGTATTATTATTGTTGTTTTTAGTTGTCATATCAATGACCTTGTTTTTAATTGCATTATTAAATTGTTTACTCGTTTACTTAATATGAAATGATAACATTTCGTTCTGTTCTGTGTGATTTCTTCTGCCAGCTCGTTTCCAAGAATAGGCCTACATAATGTTAAACAAGACTACACTTTAAACCCTTAAAATAAATAACCTTTCTGCAATCGTTTAACCTTCATGTAATGTTTACTTTGTTTGCCATTTATATCCTTTTATATTCGCTATAAAATGGGTAGGTTAAGGATTGGAGGAAGGTTAAGGGGTCTAAAAATCTAAATCGCTTATTGATAAAATGATAAAAATGCATATTCGCTATAAAATGGGTAGGTTAAGGGGTCTAAAAATCTAAATCGCTTATTGATAAAATGATAAAAACATTCATACGGATATCTTAATGATATAAAAGATACGTAAACATTTTACGTTTTTTTTAGCTAAAAATACGTAGCAATTTGTACGTTTTAAATGTTGAAATACGTCTAAATGGTACGTTTTAGCATCAATAAAAACGTACAAAAATGTACGTTTTGTGCTTGTAAATGTTACTTAAGCCCACCGGCAACTATAGTTGCCGCAGTTTATAGTTGTCGTTTTCCTTTTGTAAGTATTTTTCTAGATGTTATCCATGTTTTATTTCTCAATGACATGCAAGCAAACAACCAAATAAAGGATTTCATGGGTGAAAAAAAAAAAAAAAGGTATTCACTTCCTTCCTGTCACATGAGGCTGTCAAGTTCCTTCCCCTACTTCCAGGAAGCATGGCGAAGGCAAATCCTCCCAAAGAAATGTAATTTTCATGTTACTAATAAGTATTTTTTGTTGACAAATATATACATCTACATAATCATGAAGGTCTCTAGAATCATCCAAACAAAACAAATCTTACAGGAGATCTATAGTTTTTTGTATACTTAGTCAAAAGTCCAAGTGGCAACTATAGTTGCCGGTGGGCAAATGACTTGTAAGTACATATCATATATCATATGACATATCAATATCATGGGGAAATGGAGTATACTGTGTTAATAGGTTAATAAATAAAGGTTATTGATCTTGTTTTCTGCTTTTGGCTTTCATAATATCCCACCTAAAACATAACTTTAATCCCTTTAAGTGACATCTCTACTGTACAGTAGACCTTAATTTGATAGGGAATAAATCTGTCAAAAGGAGGAGATGAGAGAGCAATCTTTCCACAGCTCTACTGCCCCACTTCTGTGTCTGCTTTTGCCATGGGGGGTGGGAATTTACAGCTTTCAAGTGACAGCAGCAGTTTACAAACTTCAGTCAGACACACAAAAGGAAGAATGGAAAGATAAAGAGCTAACACATGGGATTAATTGCTGTAGATTATCTTTTTCTCCCTTTTATGACATTATGTCTTGGAAAGCACATTAAAAATGGTGTGACTAAAGCCATAGACTAAAGCCATCATGACAATTTAGAAAGAAGTGATTTTGTACCTGAGACCAAGAATAGCAGTGCTGTGAAATAAATCAAACACACTGTAAATGTCATGTTGATGCTTCAATGCTGGAGCTCTCAGAGTGACACCTATAACAAATGAACTGTCAGTGCTGTCTGATAAACATAAAGACTGGCCCACTTCTTTGGTAAATCTGTCTTTACATAGATCAGGTTGAAAGGGGACTCCTACTGGTCTTGATAGTAATTGCACCAATGAGGTACATACTACAGTAAGTAGTAGCTCTTTTACTTAAGTTTGTCATTAAATTTATGAATTGAAAATATGTGCTTTTATTGCATAAAAATGCAATGTCTTTTACAGATTGCAGTTGTTCAGTGAGATCACTGCATGCTTGATAAATGTTAGTATTCAATAAAACCATTTCAGACAGTATTTGACTTACGTCTGACAGATCCCTCTCGTGAGCACAATAGTTGACTGTTGTTTTCATAACAACCAGCAGAGTCTGAAATGAATACCACAGGAGCAGGTGTGAATATGAAACTTTTCTACCCTTCATCCGTTAACCGCAGTATCAAAGAGCAGTTTTTGTAATGAAGAGCAGGGATCTAAAACACTGTGTAATATGCAGCGCAAAAATACACTGCATTGTCATTAGATGACAGACTTTTAATGTTCAAATATCCATTGCTATTTCCATCCCCAGACATTTCTATTTTATCTTTGAAATCATTTTCTTTGTATGGATCTTTTCCAAGTAAATATCCCATAAATGTGAACCCATGGTCCTGGTTTTGTCTGTACCAGTTGATTTGATTGTAACTGGACACACTGTGTAAACACTGGATCTTTGCAGTTTCTCCTTGTCTCTCAATCACGTCAGGTGGAGACTGGTTGACTTTGTTACTAAGAGAAAAACCTGTGAAGAGAGTATTCACATATTTCACAAAACAGAAAATAGAGGTTAAATTACTTTGCATTAATGCATACAGAGCCTTACCTGAGAAACTGATCAGCGTAAGAATAAATATGATGACAGATTTCATTTTGACACTCAGAGAATCTGTTACTGTATGTGAAAATGTTACTGATGCAACAACAATGTAAAACAAATCATCACAATATCACAATATACTGTACGCCGTGCATATAGAGGTTAAATTACTTTGCATGAATGCATACAGAGCCTTACCTGAGAAACTGATCAGCGTAAGAATAAATATGATGACAGCTTTCATTTTGACACTCAGAGAATCTGTTACTGTATGTGAAAATGTTACTGATGCAACAACAATGTAAAACAAATCATCACAATATCACAATATACTGTACGCCGTGCATATCCACTTTGATATGTAGAAGTGCAACTTTTCTCTGAGCCAGTTTAAACTGGTTGGTTAAATTTGACTGGTTAGCATGACTAGCTCGCTAGCGCCTGCTGGTAGATGTTGTAACTACATCTGGCAGCAAAAAATCTTGCAGTGTTGCCAAGTCTGTGGTTTTAATGTTGAATTTGGCTACTTCTATACCATTGCCAAAGGTTGTATTTTAGTCGGCAGGTTAAAGCGAGCTTTCTTGAATGCGGTTTCAACAGAGAAAAACCATGGGGGGGAAATGCGATTGGGCTAGTTTTGATTAGCAATTGGGCTGGTTTTATTTTGCCGGCCTGGCAACCCTGGCATCTTGACAGCCATTCAAAAACAGTTCTGTATTTTTACAGAATAAAATTTGAATCAAGAAACATAAAGAATAATGAATTAATTGGTCCCACTTTATATTAGGTATCTTTAAATACTATGTACTTAATAATAAAATTAATTAATAGGGGCTATGTACCTATTGTGCTCATGTTGAATTGCAAGAAACATTTGCTGTTATTGAGGTGGAATACAGGTTAAAGGCAGGTTTAGTGGTCTGGTTGGTTTAAAGGCGAGACACTGCAGGTGAATAGGGTAAAAATATTAACTAATAGTTATCACCCAGTTGATTGATTAAATTGATAATTGCAAACATTTTTTGTATTATAAGTTTTCTAAAATGTTATGTTTAAATATGCAAATGAGGCATTCTTTAATGAAATATGCGCTAATTTGCATACATTTCTAGTACAAAAATCTGAACACTGGATGAAGTCAGTTTCAAAATTCTTGTTTAATTTTTTTGACATATTAGAGTCAAATGTTTTTACAGAGGGAATTTTGGGTATCTCTTTTTGTCACTCCATAATTCAGAAAAATCTTTGAACAGCCAGAAAATGTCTCAGGTTACGTATGTAACCATGGTTCCTCGAGGGAATCAGTCCAATAGCTGAGCGAGATGTCACGGGCGGGTGACATCATGACCAGGAAGCTATAAAAGCACGTGCGGCGGAGTCGGCGTCAGCTTCAGGAATGAAGCAAGTGCTGGCAGGGATGCCGGAAGTATGGCACCGAGACGCAGCGTCTCGTTCCCTCGAGGAACCATGGTTACATACGTAACCTGAGACGTTCCTCTTCAGGAACTCGAGCTGCGTCGGAGAACGCTTTGGGAACGAGAATGCCCATGCCGCCAGACTTTCAAATCTCTGCCTAGTGTGGAAGCCTGCACAGCTAGGGCGAGAGAACAGAAGATCCAGGAGTGGCTGGCATATCTAGATCGTAGAATCTGATGAAGGTAATGGGCGTGGACCAACCCGCAGAGTTGCAGATGTCCTGCATAGAGATACCTGCTAAAAAGGCCTTGGAGGCCGCCACACTTCGAGTGGAGTGAGCCTTACCGTAGCAAACAAGCAGTTGGTCCGCCCTCGCACTGGACACATACAATTAAGCTCCTGCTGGTCTGGCTCCCTGAAGGGAGGAGGACTGAAGGCCTGGAGTACGATAGGCTGCGGTGCAGATGAGGGGACTTTAGGGACATACCCCACTCGAGGGTACAGAAACGCTTTGGCCAGACGTTCGGGTGCAAAGTCAAGATAGGAAGGGGCCACTGATAGGGCTAGCAAATCCCCAAATCTCTTAAGAGAAGATATCGCCAGAAGAAAAGTAGTCTTTATAGTAAGGTGGCGATCAGAGATCTCCTCAATTGGCTCGAACGGAGGCTTACAGAGAGCTTCTAGCACCACGGCCAGGTCCCTCATGGGGATGCGAGATCGTACGAAAGGCCTCAGACTCAGCACACCGCGGCGGAAACGTGTAACCAGGGGGTGTCTCCCCACTGACTGGTCACCGAGAGGGGCGTGGTAGGCCGCAATGGCCGCCACGTAGACCTTCAGGGTGGGGTGGGTTAACCCTGTAGAGAAACAGGCCTGCAGGAACTCCAGTACTGTACCAACTGGGCAGTTAGCTGGGTCAAGCTGGCGGTCTCTGCACCAGGAAGGGAAAAGCTTCCACTTCAAGGCGTACAGTTTCCTCGTGGAGGGAGCTCTGGATTGGAGGATGGTCTCAACAACCTCAGTTGAGAGACCAGAAGCTACTAGTTGTGCCCCCTCAGGGGCCACACCCATAACTTCCACAGCTCCGGGCTGGGGTGAAATATCGTGCCCTCCGCCTGTGAGAGGAGGACCCTCCTGACGGGAATCTCCCATGGAGAGCCATCGAGAAGGGAAATCAGGTCCGAGAACCATACTCGGCCCGGCCAGAACGGGGCTACTAACAGTAGACGGATTCCGTCCCGGCGCACTCTCTCCAGAACTCCCGGGAGCAGAGCGATTGGGGGAAAGGCGTACAGACGAAGCCTCGGCCACGTCTGTACCATGGCATCCAGCCCCAGTGGAGCTGGATGAGTCAGAGAGAACCAGAGGGGACAGTGTGATGTCATCTGAGTCGCAAACAAGTCCACCTGAGCCTGGCCAAAAACGTTTCAGGTTACGTATGTAACCCTGGTTCCTCGTGGGAACGAGACGCTGCGTCGGAAAACGCTAGGGGAACGCCTTCTGTGACCAAGCTCTGAATTACATGTGAAATCAGTCCAATAGCTGAGCGGGACGTCACGGGCGGGGGACGTCATGACCAGGAAGCAATAAAAGCACGTGTGGAGGAGTT